TCGGGCTCCCTGCTGAGTTGGGAGCCTGCTTCTCCCTCTCCCACTGCCCCCACTTGTGTTCCCTCTCTCGCTGTGTCTCTCTCCATCACATAAAATCTCAAGCTCTCTCTCTCTCTCTCTCAAATAAATAAATATTTTAAAAAAGATTTACTTATTTGAGAGATAAAGTGTGAGTAAATCTTTAAAAAAAAAAAAACTAAACTAAAAATCTATCCTCTTATGTTTCAAACAGTAAATTTCTGACAGGTATTCTCCTATGCTCATACAATATATTAAAACCATGAAGATACACAAATTGTTTTACATCAAGCAGATCTGTAATTATGTGAAGTTGATAGGCAATTGAGTGGTAAGTAATGGCTTTAAACAGAGGGTTAGCAAATCATGTGGGAAAACTGGAGACTCTAACTTCCTGCCTACAAGAACTGTTCTTACAATGTGAACTTCCTGCAGGTACAGGAATTTAGAGTCTGGAAAAGATGAGGATGATTTTGTCTCACTTCCAGTTACATGCGGAATTTGCCCTATTAGTCAACCTGACTGGCATGTCAAAGCAGAATTTGCTACTAGCCTACAAACTCCAAATAAAACTCCACTTGGAAGACCAAACAGTGCTGAGTCCTTTGGGAACTACTGTTTTGTCAAGAGTCCAGAGTAGGACCTACTTTTCTATGACAACAACTGGATCATCCTCCAGGGCATTCACAAACTTCCAGCATGGTACTCTTATATGGACATATCTGGACATAGCGTTTATTTTGGGGGCCAGATTAATTCAGTCTGGTAAGACTAAGACATGGGCAACTGCTGCTTTGAGTTAAAGGAAGCACTGTTTTTGTTTTGTTTTTAAAGATTTTATTTATTTGACAGAGAGAGAGACAGCAAGAGAGGGAACACAAGCAGGGGGAGTGGGAGAGGGAGAAGCAGGCTTCCCGTGGAGCAGGGAGCCCAATGTGGGGCTCCATCTCAGGACCCTGGGATCATGACCTGAGCTGAAGGCAGACGCTTAACGACTGAGCCACCCAGGTGCCCAGGAAGCACTATTTTGGATGTCTTCTAGATCATGCCTAAGATTCACCACACACAAAGGAAAACAATCATCCTGAGCCTCTGGAAGACACCTAAGTAACAAATTGAGAAGAGAATGGTAGACTGGGCATACCAGAAGTTTCCTCTGAAGAAAAAGAGTAACAAAGCAGCCTTCCTCTCTCCAGCCAATACCTCTGCCTGCATTTCACTAAAACACAATAATTTGATTCAACACTTAATTCAACTCTCAGCTAAGTCTTCTGGTCAGTAAATAAAATCTTTTGTTTTCCTCTGCTGCCTAACTCTTAGATTTTGCCATTTAAAGGTATCGAATTCTCAGGGCCCCTGGGTGGCTCAGTTGGTTAAGCGTCTGCCTTCGGCTCAGGTCATGATTCCAGGGTCCTGGGATCAAGCCTGGCATCGGGCTCTCTGCCCAGCAGGGAAGCCTGCTTCTCCCTCTGCCCCTCCCCCTGCTCGTGCTCCCTCTCCCTCTCTCTCTCAAATAAAGAAAATCTTAAAAAAAAAAAAAGTATTGAATTCTCCTTACACAGTATCCATTTATAAGTTATTCATCACCTAAGATTAGGGAGCCTTACCTCAAAAAATATCTATTACCTAATGTAATAAGGTAATTCTTACAAAATACTTTGTGTTTTTATCCTACATTTCCAGTCAGTCACATACATATGGGGCATACTAACCAAATGTCATCCTGAAGACATGCTAAGCAAAGTGGAAGAGTTACAAAGTAAGTGAGCTCTGTGAGATCAATTTTGATTGAAGAGAATGTGATGGGATGAAAGTGAAGAACTGTGCCTACAGACTGTCTTCCTCTGCTCTGTAAATTGGAATTCACCTGCTAGCCCTTCTATTTACCAACACAGGCATCCACCAAAAACTGCTACAATAAGTAAACAAATAAATAAAAATGGTTTATGGAAGCCCATGTGCACAACAGAAAACTAAAAAAGCATCCAGCCTTATTTTCTATTCAAACAGCTGATCTCTGGGCCAAAACCACCCTTCCTGAAAATGAAGGGTACTGAACAAAATAAATGTAGCCTGGGGATGCCAACATTAAGCGCAGGCCAAAACATTTGACAGTAAAACGGCAGCTTTCAGAGAAAAAAACTGGACCACCTTAGGTGTTAACCCAGTAGTTCAGTTTACATGATATGTGACTTTCTCAGAAAAATCATCTAATAAAAAGAGCCAGGAGAACAGAGAAAAAGATGAAAAAGCAACAGAGCTTGGTGAGGCCTGCGCGGAAGGGGAGAGGACTGAGCGGGACCTCAGATGAATAGAATGAAGCTCTGGTCCTGCATGAAAAGAATAAACTCAAAATCCCATTAGATTTAAGAAACACACCAATACCTTTTAAAAGATATGACAAAAAAGAAATGTTACCACTTTTCTCGAAATAATCAGGGACAAGAAAAATGAGGACTCAGATCCCTGCCTCGTCCATCATGGGAGTTGGCATCCTGTGGGTTCCAGCAGGCAGTCCGCAGTATGGATCCACAAAAATTTTTTGGCACCAGAGGTAAATCTACCAATCGTGCAGAAAGCAAATACACATGGCAAGTGAAACCAGATTCCACAGTACTTGATTCAACTGTTTACTAAACAGGTCAGTATAGTCAGTCCTTTGTCTACCACTGGCAAATGGTTTTTGTACACTTTATTACAAATAAAACAATCTTGTTTGACGATACCATCTGTCATCTTACAAACATATGAGAAAACAGTCCTAGAGTAATAGTATATCTCTAGGAACTGAGCTTTTCTTAAAAACAAACAAATGAACTATACTATGAATAAGTCCTGTATCTAAATCTATACAGCATCTTTAAGTAATGTGGAAATGAAATTATGATTTATTAATTTACATAAAAATTACTTTATACATTAAAGAATAATTTTTCAAATTGTTAAAAAAACGAAGTCTGAAGCTGTCATTATTGGGATTCATGGGACATGGTTTGCTCTTCTATCACTTGCTTCACAATTTCTGCCAGTTTTAGTCGATCTACTTTATCTGTGAATCCACGACCTGAAATGCAAAAAAGAAAAAAGTCAGTCTCCAAACGTGTAGAGGTGACAGGGACCCAATAAGGTACCCATACGGTGTACGACAGGGGCTCTGCAGGGTTGAATCTGCAGCACACAGTTTATCTGAATTCTGTGAAAAAAGTGAAAGGCCAGATGTCCAGATATGCCTGTGCAGTTAATGTAGGACTAACCCCCATCCCATAATACCCCATAATACCCCACTCACTCTCTAGCCTCACTTCACTTCAAAACAGCCCCAGCTCAGCCCCCAGAGATCCTCCATGTTCTACACATAATCACTTCTCTGCATCCATGGAGAAAGGAAGAATTATTTTCCTACCATTCCAGCTGAAGCTTTGCAGAGTATCTCTTAGGAGTTTGCATTCCCGGTTATACTTCCAAGCCTCCTGCATTACTTCATTCAACTTTTCATCTTCATTCTCTCCTATTGATAAAGATGAAGAAGTTGTGTTTTCCAGTGGCATCATGGGATTTTAAGTGTCAGAGATGGAAGGACACAATCTCCAACTTATTGAGAAGTGATGAGTAAAGGTGCAAACTTTTGACACTGCTGTTACTAGCAGTCCCTACATTACATATAGGTCGCTTCTGGGCTTTGCACTCTTCTACTCTGACAGCCTCACACAAATCCTCTGATGTCCCCGGGGTCTCAAGCACTAGGGTATGGGAAGTAGACAGAGTCAGACTCTGCTGCTGAGCAAAAACACATGATTAATCTAAGAGACCAAGAGAAGGGAGAACAAGGCTGAGTGGACCACCTTCTTTCTCCTAAGCTCATTTCTTACTTTGGAAGCTATCTAAGTGCACTATGTGAATTCTCTGAAAACCTAAGGAAGTTAGACAGTTTTCTGGCTTCCTACTTCAGGCATCTCCTTCATCTGCTCTGCTTCAAGAGCCCATTACACCCCACTGAGTAAAGAGAGACTATTCTAAAAGAAAGCTCTCACTCAAAAGGAGACATGTACAAGTCACACTCTGGCCATGATACACAAAGCAGCAGGGGCCACTTCTGAACTTCTGGGAGGTACTCTCTTTATATTCACAAGTGAATGATAGCCTTGCACTCTAAAGGCTCTGGAAATGTTTTCTGACCTTCACAAGCTGATCGTGACCCTGTCCACATTTTCCATTCTTCATCTTCTGTCCCGTGCCCTCGTTAACAAACTAAGAAAACACAAAATTGCATGCTGCACCAGACATTGGTAATTAAACCTCAACTAGCAGTTTCACAGAAAACCAAAGGAGGGGCAGAACTTACCACCTTTCTGAGTTCCCATTGCCCTCTCTTTTCAATGGGCACAGAATAATATATATAATGTACTTATTTTCTTATAACACAAAGATGAGAAAGACCACTTCATATTAAACTGCTCCTTCTATCATGTGCACGCACGCACGCACACACGCGGAACATTCATAAATGGCGTGACCTTTACCAGCCTGGGGGAGAATACATTGAGCAATCACATCTCGGAGCTTTTCCAAGGCAACATTTGAATCCTCGGCTCCATTCTCACGGTCATGGATATAAACACCGTCCTTTGGCTTGGTGCTTTAAAAGTTTGGAAGAGAGGGAATAACAAGGTGAAACCTGAGAAACCAACTCTCCACAGAAGTTAACTCTAAACATAAGGCAGCACATTTTTCAGATAAATAATTAACTATAGAGTGTCTCCAACTTCTGATGCTATTTAAAGGGCTTATCCTTCCCACCCTCTTAAGAGGCAGCAAAAAGGCAAACCCCTGGCTAACCTTTCAGAACCCTGCACTCAGCCATACCAGCCATGAAGGAAAATCCACAGAATATGCTCAGTTACCCGAGTAATTTCCTCTTCCTCAGAATGGGGTTGTTCACAGAGTGCAGGGGTTTGAGGCTGACTTTCAGATCCTGGATTCTCATGTTGGCCAACTGTTCCGCGTGAGCCTGCTGGATTCCTGCAACCACCGCCTGAATGTAAACACTATCATCAGTTTTCACACTCACTTCAAGGCACCTAAAAAGCTGATCTAAGAAACTGTGAAGGAGAAGCTCCAAGAACTAAGAAGGCAATTTCACTGTTATGCTGGCAGGACACAAATTTTGATAAGCCAGAACATTCTTCATGGATCAGCAAGCCCAAGGACTACCAGGCAAACCAAGGGCCATACAACAGCTAGCCCTTCCTCCCTGCACAGGGACAGAAATGGAAGTAAGAAATACTAAAAAGAGTCATGTTCACAGTCATTGGCAAGAGCAAGTGTAAAGAGAGGCATTCATGTACATCAGGGAAAAGGCTGGTAAGCTGCTGCCCAAGAAGCCTCCCACAGTGGCATTTATTCACTGCCCCCACAGTGTGGACAGTACTTCAGCCCCGATGGCTCAGAACCCCAAGCACTTCACAATGGTAAGCGGGTAGATCTCAGGAACTCATCTACAAGTCAATTAATTTACAATGAGAAATAACTGTCATGGCGTCTAGAACTTTTGAAGCCTGTGTCTTTATGACCAGTGCGAGCTCTTACTATGGGCAGACCAATTAAGGCAGGTAAATAGTCAGCAGAAAGTTTTCTAAGAACAAGGTGAGGCCATGTTTATATTTTAGAAAAGGACAAACTGTGAGAATATGTGTGTCTCCCCAGAAAAAGATTAGGAAGGATATGTTAAGCCAGAGATTACCTCACCTCTGAGGGGTGAGACTGAAGCAGAGGAATGAAAAGGAAATTATGCTTTCTAAAAATATATACCTCTGTATTGTTTTAATTTCAACAATAAAATTTGACAATTTTAAAAAGTAGTTCCCTGTTAAGCATGTGGTTAGATCAGGTCTGAACTCGTTTAAAGGAGCTGTAATAGCTGGCTCTGGCTATATACTCTACCGGAGCTCAGGCTCCATCTCCTAGGCAGCGCTTAGATGGGCACTATTCAACATCTGCATATGTGGCCTTTTTTCTACAAAGTTAGCCAACTCACATCATGACCCCATAATTTCTTTAAAAATGGGAATATATTGTCACCTTGCAGTTCAACCTTATGGGCCTCGGGGCCACTCTTTCTCATTAAGACGATTCTGCATATCCATATTTGGCTTAATTATATACTAATTCTACAGTAACTCTAGAAAGCAATCTTATTTCTTCAATTCCAAGATTTTGAGGAAAGCCACACTGTAACCCTCATGTGCTGATCTAAGCAATCCCTTAGGATTTTGGACTGATCAAACCAATTCTGGACTACTAGGCATATTTAAACCAGAAAGAGAACCACACACAAATCAGAGATGGCAGAGAACTTTGTTCCTTCCAGCTTTCTTTCCCATACTCCAGCAAAACTAAGGGAGGTCTTAGAATTTTTTTTCCGGGGCGCCTGGGTGGCTCAGTCGTTAAGTGTCTGCCTTCGGCTCAGGTCATGACCCCAGGCTCCTGGGATCAAGCCCCACATCGGGCTCCCTGCTGAGTTGGGAGCCTGCTTCTCCCTCTCCCACTGCCCCCACTTGTGTTCCCTCTCTCGCTGTGTCTCTCTCCATCACATAAAAAAAATCTTAAAAAAAAAAAATATATTGAAACTATTCACTTGTCTCTACTTCTCTGCTCCCAGAGCTGCTCCCAGGCTTGTCGATTACTGCATAAGTCTTAGGTTGACAAGTCTGCAAGCCTGGCTGACCATCCCCAAATACCTTCCTTGTGGCAAATCTCTTCTCCAGAAGTGACAATGGCCTCTCAGCTCTGTCCTACTAAGACTTAAGTCCCTCTGTGTGCTTTCAAAGCCTGGCCCTGCCACATGTACTTCATTGACTTCCCATTAATGAAGCCAGGTGGCTTTCCCCATGGATGCACTTCTGTCTGTAATTGTTTGCTCCTGTTGCTCACTGCACCTGGCCACGTATGTTGTCTACTCAAATTCTTTAAGGCAGCTCATGCCTAAACATGTGAATAGGTTAAAAACTGCCATGCAGTAATTAATAAATATGAGGGGTTTTGCCTTCTCTTTGGGAACCCTTCCCTAATTACAGCCCTTCAAAGATGTTCACTTTTTCTGAATTCCCATAGCGTTCGTAGAAAATGTAGCATGCAAAGCTCTGATGTCTGAAATGTTCCCTCCTTGTTTCACATAAATTGGTCTTTCCAGTCTTGTTTAAGCCCCTCGGGGGAGGGGCTCATAGTCTCATAGTACTCCATGCCCCTCAACCCCGAAGCACAAATATGGAGGGTTTGAGTTTTCACTTAGTGTATATTTACCGGGCCTTGATCTGGTCTTTTACGCAAAGAAGCTTTTATTTCAGACCCTGATTTTCAGGAAAGCAGGGATGTGTCTCTGGGAAAGACTGAGTTCTCTGCTCTGCCTTTGACCCCTCCCCGAGCCTTGTCTCGGCATTCCTTCTCAACACAGCCTTTTTGGTGAACAAAGTAAGTATCATTCAAAACCTTATCCATCATCAGTTGAGCAGAGGGTAGCACATTATCCAAGGCCTCAGTCGAGTTGAGCCACGGGTGGTCCAATACTCCCTCGATGGTGAGTCTTTCCTCTGGTTTGACCTTCAAGAGCCTGTGGAGAAAAGGCCAACAGGGCTGCCATGCATAGTTGCTTCCAGAAGGCCAGGAAGTTCCTGGGTCTGGTATTAACCAGCTCCAACTTCTGACTTTCTACCAACTCCTACAAGCCTAGGCATTCCATCTGTAGGCAGGAGTGGGAATCTAGTACCTAACCCCTAGTGGTGAAGGCACTGTGTCCTTTGGTAGTCCTTTCTACACTAGACAGAGTGAGATAAACATGGTAGGATAAGGCTTAACCCAGTGATACTTCAGACTGAGTTCTAGGTTTAGTAAGCCTACATATAGTTTATAGTTCCTGAGACTTGAATCTCCACATCCATGTTTTTAGGACAGTGGGCTCCAATTTCCAAAAGGGACTCAAAGTGCTCTTTTGGCTGACAGTGGCTACAAAATTAGTTGAGAGGTCATGTGGTTATGAAAATCTAGGTTGCTACTTGTGATAAAACTGTTAGATGTCACCATATGGCAGGACATGAACCCTTTATTCCAGAAACATTCAAAAGCCAAAAAATCTAAAGTCTCTGATAAGGGGATGGCATTTCCTTCTAAGCCGAATGTATTTCTCTGTACCATCTGCTTTTTGATCCTACTTCTTCACATCTTGTCCATTCATGCTGATGCATTTCTTGGCCCACCTCAGCATGTTCCCTGGGCTTTTTAGCCCCTCCTTCCAACTACACATCCTCCCATTGTAAACGTCAGTCAGGACAACATGTGTACTTGTTCTTTCAGGTTCTCTGCAACCTTCTGGATCATTCTGAACAAACACCTTCAGATTCTGAAGAAATGATTATTTAGAAAAGAATCCCAAAGCTGAAAGAAGATAGTATCGCTCTAGGGACAGGAAATATATTCTACAGAACTGACAAAGGGGGTGCCTGGGTGGCTCAGTTGTTGGGCGTCTGCCTTCGGCTCAGGTCATGACCCCAGGGTCCTGGGATGGAGCCCTGCCTCCCTCTCCCACTCCCCCTGCTTGTGTTCCCTCTCTCGCTGTGTTTCTGTCAAATAAATTAAATCTTAAAAAAAAAAAAAAAGAATTGACAAAGAACCACTTAGAGAATATTGATGTTTTGATTAAGTAGCTGAGAATACAGTGTGGAAACAGCATGGGAAGGCAAGTGATGCTTTAAACATTGTCTCCACCCTCCTAAAAACTTTTACTTGTATATTGTAGAAACTAGTCCTTCTTTATATACATAGATCCTTAACCAACAGGACAAGCTCTCTATTGAAAGGGAGTAATCTCCATAGAGAAATGGCTGTACTGTCAGGAGAAAGCTCCCAGGCACTCCCCCTTTGATGCTTATCTTCATCATATTACTGATGAAGAAACTGAAACCAAAAGAGAAAAATGACTCAGTGAACACCAAGCAGTAGGAATACCAGAAGAGTGCCCAAATCCCAGGCAGCTGAGACTCCCACACAGGTGGGCAGGAAAAGCAAATATACGTCAAATTTAGATGTGACTTCTTACCTAGTCCTTCAGCTACAAAGGACTCTGTCAACTCTCCCTCACCCACTCACTAGCACTAAATCTTCTAAATCTATCTTAGCAGTTGGGGAGGTTAGATGCCCATAAATTTAGCCATCTACTCCCGACAGCAGCCAAGGAATGAAAAGCCAAAATGTCATTGTCATCTTAGCTTGAGTTCAGTTCCTGACGCCATGTCTGTTCCACATGACTGGCTAACACGCAGGAACGGCACACCATGGGGCTTACCATTTAAGGTCCTAAATTAATGCTCCAAGGCACCTGGTTTCACAACCCTTGGGACAAATTCTAAGAATGCAACAAGAGGGAGCAAAGCTCTATTTTCACCAAGGTGTGGACATGAAGAGCTCTCATCTCAAGCTCCAGGGATAAGATTTCTATGATGCGCCAATGGGAAGGAGCATGCCTGGGAAACCAAAGACTTTTCCCTTGTGATCCACCACCTTAAGGCCTCCTTGGCCTCCCCACCCCACGGCCTGGGGACTCACTTCCTCACAACATCTTTGGCCATCTCTGAAATCTGGCTCCACTCTTCTTCTGGGAACTCAAAACTGCCTGTCATGATCTTTCTCCGCATATCCTTTGGGATAGTTCGGCTGTGGTGTTTGGAGTAAAAAGGAGGGTATCCGCACAACATCACGTAGATAATCACCCCTAGGGACCACAAGTCACAGCTCTGAAAGGAAAATGAAAATAGTCACTTACAGCAGAGGCATAGCCCCAAAATAAAGCCCTCAGGACCAGCCCAGAAACAGCCCCTAACATACACAGGCTGATATCTCCAAAAATCACTTAACAGAGACTGGAAAAGTTTCAGGAAGTCTTAAGGAAACCAACCTTTCTTTCTATCATAGGTTTTCTATGCCACCAACACTACATATATACACACCAGCATACAAGGCCAGTCTAGGGTGAAATAAACAGTCACTTTTATTCTCACTGCTCAGGCCCAAGCTACTAGCTGATCCTTGGGCACAGGTATAGGATACTTCATCTCCAGCTAGAGAAATAACAGATATAAGCCAGCTGGTTGGGAAACATGTACGCTGTCAATCTGGGCAGGGTTGAGGGTGCAGGCACAAAGCAGCTAAGACACAGGTAGGCTGACCCCATAATACAGGATAAGTCATTTTGTAAAGGCCCAAAGCAGTTTGACACGGATCAGGAAGAGGCAGTAGAGGGAAGAACAAGAAGTCTAAAAGCACTCCTTTGGCCACAGATGATTCACTGTACCCACTGCCAGGACCATACACCATTCTTGGAGAAGATATGAAAGAAAGAAAACTGCCACCAACTATTTTGTCTGTAGGTATTAGGTGCCTTCATGAGCTACAGTCACAGCATGGTTATTAATAAAGGACTCCTAATTTAGTTAAATGCAGCTCTACCTGCCTCAGAAACTGGATCCTCAGAGGCTTCAGTTCAAGCCTGTCTTGAACCACAGGATAAAAAGTGTCTGCCTGAGAAAGGCAGCCCAGGGAGTCTACCACTGCAGCCACATGCTCTCGCCATACCACAGCTGTGTCCTGCTGATAGAAGCCTAGAAAATGGGATGTCTCAGGTACTCCCACCCATGTTTTTGCATCATACTAATGGGTATTTGTAGACAACATGACCCATGCTACAGAACATAACTATAAAATTATAGAGGTGAGGTGCCTGGGTGGCTCAGTTGGTTAAGTATCTGCCTTCGGCTCAGGTCATGATCCCGGGGTCCTGCTCAGCGAGGAGTCTGCTTCTGCCTCTGCTCCTCATCCCGCTCATGCTCTCTCTCTCCCTCTCTCTCTCAATAAATGAAATCTTAAAAAAAAAAAATTATAGAGGTGAAAAGAATCTTAAAAATAGTTCAAATTGGGGCACCTGGGTTGCTCAGTCGGTTAAGCGCCTGCTTTCAGTTCAGGTCATGATCCAGGGTCCTGGGATCGAGCCCCACATCAGGCTCCCTGCTCAGTGGGGAGCCTGCTTCTCCCTCTCCCTCTTCCTGCCACTCTGCCTACTTGTGCTCGCTCGCTCTCTCTCTAATAAATAAATAAAATCTTTAAAAAAAAATAGTTCAAATCCCTCACTTTCCACATGAGGGAACTAATACTTTTTTTTAAGATTGATGTAGTTATTTAACTTCTAAAAATTTAATTATATCTTATTACAGATTTTTGTTAAAATATTATTTGCAAATGTAGCATTCAGTGTTCACTTAGTTGCCAATATAAAGAGGATTATCTCTAGACTAACATATATACACATTCAAAAGTAATATGAGCTGTTTATTATTCCAACAGGCTACTCATCTGCAGTGTGTAATTTTTATGAATGCCATGCTAACTCATGAGCACCACTAGCGGTTCACAAAATGGAACAGGAAAAGAAGACAAAAATACTACTGGAAAATAACATATCATACAAGAATCCATTGCATTCATGCTGAGAAAATTTCGCAACTAAATTAACGTCATCTAAGTGCTTCTACCACTCACTTCCTGCATGCATCAAGAAGTGGGAAGCAGTTTCTGACTCTGATGCTATAATCAGCACAGCCCTCAAACCTTCACTACATTAAGGGTAGAGGTGGCTATGATTTTGAGTTTGTAGGGCAAGAAGGTGTGGAGCAGTGACTTCTTGGGGACTGACCAGTGTTACTCATGAAAGTAGGTGTTTCGGGTTCTTGGTTACACTGTGCCAGTGACAGGGTAGAGCACAGGGTCCTAAGCGGCAGAGGAGCCTGGGTGTTCTCTCTGATGTTTGCCTGTGTGCATGTGTGTGCACGCGCTATAGGAACATGTGGAGCCCTAAAGTGTGGGACCCAAGAAGAGCCAACCTACTGCCTTTTTACCACCCTCAGGTCCCTCTCTGTCATCTACATTCAGCCATGAGTCCCCAAGAAGCATCATTTTTTTTTTCTGATCCACTCAGCGACTCCAGGACCTGCTTTAAGAGGCCCTAATCCTCTTGTGTTTTAGAACAGAGATGCTTGATGTGTAGGCTACAGACTGAGAACTATAAGACCAGGAATACTTGCTGTTGTGTTGCAGACACTGTTCTAAGTTGGGTATTTTACGGGAAGAAAGAACAGTACCATAAATGGCCATGGACACCTCAAAAAAAGCAAGACAACCATGTCTTTTAAGTGTGGTCAGTGGACTACAACTATCCAAATAAATAACCTACAGGTGACCATTGCCCTTGGTTCCTGCTGCAAAACCTCAATTGTTAAGAACCTTATTTCATATTTCGTCAGACAAAAAAACCCGAATTCCAAGATCTTCTGCATGTGTAGCTGCTGCCAGCCTTTTGGACAGGAATATTAAGGGATAAGAATTCCCTTAGAATTCCCAAGAATTCATTCCCAAAGAACCACAAACACCTCACAGAAGTGCTTTGCTACACCTGAAGCGTGCAGGTATCTCTTCCCCTACCTTGTTGTAAGTGTAGGGTGTTGGCGAGGTAGGTATGATGCCAGATTTCTCCTTCTGATGCCTTCTCTGTGCCTCCAATACCTGTCAGAGTCAGACCAAAGGGGACAATTTACTGAAAACCACACCAATGACCTACAACTTGAGAAAGAATGTTGAAAAAGAATGCTGAAGGAGAGTAGACACTGGCAGTTAACAATTAAAAACAAAACAAAACAAAAAAAACCCCAACCCTCCAGAAAACACAAACTTTCAAAAACCTTCTTTCCCTCTTATAACCAGCAATTTATCAGCTTTTGCCCAGGTCAAGGACATGAAGAGCAAGTCCTGGAAGAGATTTAACTCTTCTTCCTGCCCATCAAGGCATCCGAGATCATGGACTTTTTCCTGGAGACATAGACATCCCTTATGCCTGTATAAAAGCAGACCAGTGCTGGCCAGTGGATCAGGTTCAAGGTACTTGTTACCATCAAGCTAACAGTCATGTTGGTCTGGGTGTTAAGTGTTCAAGGAGGCAACCACTGCCATCCATGGGGCCATCATCCTGGCCAAGCTCTCCACTGTCCTGTGCAACAAGACCCCTGGGGGAACAATATTGGCATGCCCCGCAGATTCCTTGCAAGATGACAGGATGCTGCAACTATGCACTGGTCTGCTTCCTCCTCACACCCAGACCCATGCTATGGTCTTAGCCCCACGCCCACGAAGCTGCTGATGGCAGATGTTGACAACTGCTACACCTCAGCCAGGGGCTGCAATGTCACCTGGGGCAACTTTGCCAAAGCAACCTTCGATGCCATCTCCAAGACCTACAGCTGCCTTACCCCAACACTCTGGAAAGAGACTGTGTTCACCAAGTCTCCCTGTCAGGAATTCACTGACCATCTTGTAAAGACCCACATCAGAGTCTCCATGCGGAGGACCCAGGCTCCAGCTATGGCCACCACATAGTGTTTTTATACAAGAAGAGTAAAGTGAATTAATTAAACCTGAAAAAGAAAATACCATTTATAATAGCACCATAGAATAAATCTTAACAAAGATGGGAAAGACCTGTATACTGAAAACCACACAAATATTGCTGAGAAAAACTAAAGGCAAAAATAAATGGAGCAATACAGCTTGCTCATGGGCTAGAAGGCTCAGTATTGTTCAGATGTCAGTGTCCTCATATTGAACCATACCTCTAAAAGAACCCTAGACAAAATCCCAGCAGGCTTTTTTGTAGAAATTAACAGCTGTTTCTAAAGTTTATATGGGGGCGCCTGGGTGGCTCAGTTGGTTAAGCATCTACCTTCGGCTCAGGTCATGATCTCAGGGTCCTGGGATCCAGTCCCATGTCAGGATCCCGGCTCAGCGGGAAGCCTGCTTCTCCCTCTCCTCCCCGCTCATGCTCTCTGTCACTCTCTCTGTCTCTCTCTCTCTCAAATAAATATTAAAATCTTAAAAATAAAAGTTTATATGGAAATGCAAAGAAATTAGAATAGCCAAAACAACTATGACAAAGAACTGAGTTGGAGGGCTAACACTACCTTATCTCAATAGTTATTATTAAAAAAAGTTATTATAAAGCCACAGTAATCAAGACAGTACAGTACTGGTGTAAAGACAAAGATCACGGGAACAGAACAGAAAAACCAAAATTAAACCCACACATATACATTCAATTGATCTTTGACGAAGATTCAAAAGCAATGCAATGGAGAAAAGATAGCCTTTTCAACAAATGGTACTGGAACTAGATATCCAAATGCTAAAAAAAAGAACTTAGATTCATATTCATACATTATACAAAAATTAAATCAAAATGGATCATTCATATAAATGCAAAACCTAAAACTATTAACTTGTAGGAGGAAATCTTGGGTGATCTTGGATGAGACAAAGATTTCTTACACAGGAAACCAAAAGCTGAGCCCATAAAATATATATATATATATATATATATATTTTTTTTTTAAGATTTTATTTATTTGGGCGCCTGGGTGGCTCAGTCGTTAAGCGACTGCCTTCGGCTCAGGTCACGATCCTGGAGTCCCAGGATCGAGTCCCACATCGGGCTCCCTGCTCAGCGGGGAGTCTGCTTCTCCCACTGACCCTCTTCCCTCTCATGCTCTCTGTCTCTCATTCTCTCTCTCTCAAATAAATAAAATCTTTAAAAAAAAAAAAAGATTTTATTTATTTATTTGACCGAGAGAGACACAGCGAGAGAGGGAACACAAGCAGGGGGAGTGGGAGAGGGAGAAGCAGGCTTCCTGCCCAGCAGGGAGCCTGACGCGGGGCTCGATCCCAGAATCCTGGGATCATGACCTGAGCCGAAGGTAGACGCTTAATGACTGAGCCACCCAGGCACCCCCATAAGATATTTTTAAAAATTGGTCAATTGTGGGGCGCCTGCGTCGCTCAGTGCATTAAGCATCTGCCTTCAGCTCAGGCCATGATTCCACGGTTCTGGGATTGAGTCCCACATCGAGCTCCTTGCTCAGTGGGGAGCCTGCTTCTCCCTCTGCCTTTCGCTCCCCCTGCTCCTGCTCTCTCTCTCTCTGACAAATAAATAAATAAAATCTTTTAAAAAATCAATTAATTCATCATATTAACAAAATAAGAAAAATATATTATCAGCCTAAGATGCAGAAAAAGCACTGGACAAAATTTAACACATTCCCTTTCAGTAAACTAGGAATAGAAGGAAATTTCCTCAACCCGAAAAAGGGCATCTACAAAAAATGTAACAGTTAATATGGCTAATGGTAAAAATTTGAACATTTTTTCTAAGATCAGGAATGAGGCAAGGAGGTCTGCTCTAATCCCTTATATTCAGCTAGTGGTCCCAGCCAGTACAATAAGGCAAGGAAAAGAAATAAAAGGCAAACATACTGGAAAGAGCAAAGTAAATGTCATTATTCACAGACATGATTTTGTATGTAGAAAATCTTAACAAATCTACAAAAAAATCTATAATTGATAAGTGAATTTAGCAAGATACAAGGGATCAAAAGTCATTTGTATTTCTACAAACTAGCAACAAACAATTGGAAAATGAGATTGTTAAAAATATAATTTCCAACAGCATCCAAAAATATAAAATATAGGAATAAACTTAAAGTATGTACAAAACCTATGCACCAAGAAATATAAATATTTCTGAGAAAAATTAAAGACCTAAATAGAGAGATCTACCATGTTCACTGATTGAAAGACTTAATAATGTTAAGAGGTCACCTTTCTCCAAATTCATCAGCAAATTAAACACAATCCAAATCAAATCCCAGGAGATTTTTTCCATTATAGAGAAGTGAATTCTAAAATTTATAGAAAAGTGCAAAGGGTTCAGAATAATCAAAACAATTTTGAAAAAGAATAAATTTGAAGGACTTCTTACACTATCTGATATCCGAGGTCAAGACTTAATATAAAGCTACAGTAATCCACATGATATAGCTGTAAGGGTAGATACATAAGCAGAATAGAACAGAATAGAATGGACTAACACATATATGGTCAATTGATTTTTTTTAAGATATTCATTCATTCATTCATTCATTCATTTGAGGTGGGGAGGGGCAGAAGGAGAGGGAGAGAGAGAATCTCAAGCAGACTCTGCGATGAACCCAGAGCCTGACGCAGGGCTCCATCCCACAACCCTGAGATCATGACCTGAGCCGAAATCAAGAGTGGGATGCTTAACTGACTGAGGCATCCAGGTGCCCCTGGTCAACTGATTTTTGACAAAACTGCAAGATAATTCAGTTCAACAAAACTGTAAGGTAATTCAATGACACAAGGTTATTCTTTTCAACAAATGATGTGGAAACCTGACATCCATAAGGAAAAAGAACTTTGACCCTTATTTTACACACACATACACACACACACACAGAGACGCCACCCATCAAATGAATCACAGTCCAAAAGGTAAAAGCTAAAACTATAGGGGCACCTGGGTGGCTCAACTGGTTAAGCATCTGACACCTGATCTCAGCTCAGGTCTTGATCTCAGGGTCATGAGTTCAAGTCCTGTGTTGGGCTCCGTGCCAGGCATGGAGCCTACTTAAAAAGTCGGGGGGGGAGGCACCTGGGTGGCTCAGTCGGTTAAGTATCCAACTTTTGTTTTGTTTTTGGTTTTTTTTTTTAAAGATTTATGTATTTATTTATTTGACAGAGAGAGAGACACAGCGAGAGAGGGAACACAAGCAGGGGGAGTGGAAGAGGGAGAAGCAGGCTTCCCGCTGAGCAGGGAGCCCGATGTGGGACTCGATCCCAGGACCTTGGGATATGACCTGAGCCGAAGGCAGACGCTTAACGACTGAGCCACCCAGGCGCCCTAAGTATCCAACTTTTGATCTCGGCTCAGGTCATAATTTCAGGGTCATGGGATCAGGCTCGGAGTCAGGCTCCACGCTCAGTGGGAGTCTGCTTTTCTCCCTCTCCCCCTTCTGCTCGCTAACACTCTCTCTAAAATAAATAAATAAATCTTAAAAAAAAAAAAAAGGCTAAAACTATAACCCTTAATAAGAAACCATGAGAAAAATCTTCATGTACATGGGTATGGAAAGACCTCTTAGGAACAGAATCACCAACCATTTAAAAAAAAAATGGGTGAGAGGCGCCTGGGTGGCTCAGTCAGTAAAGCATCCAACTCTTGTTTTCAGCTCAGGTCATGATCTCAGGGTTGTGAGATCAAGCCCTATGTCAGGCTCCATGCTGGACATGGAGCCTGCTTGAGATTCTCTCTCCCTCTCCCTCTGATCCTCTCTTCTTTTCCTCTCTTTCTCAATAAATAAATAAATAAATAAATAAAAGGGATGAATTGGATTTGATCAAAATAAAAAAGTTCTAGGGTGCCTGGCTGGCTCAGTTGGTAGAGCATGAGACTCTTGATCTCCGGGTTGTGAGTTAAAACCCCACGTTGGGAATGGAGATTACTTAAATAAATAAATAAACTTTGGGGCCCCTGGGTGGCTCAGTCGTTAAGCATCTGCCTTCAGCTCAGGTCATGATCCCAGGGTCATGGGATCAAGCCCCACATCGGGCTCCCTGCTCAGCTTCCCTGCTTCTCCCTTGCCCACTCCCCCTGCTTGTGTTCCCTCTCTCACTGTGTCTCCCTCTGTCAAATAAATAAATAAAATCTTTTAAAAATAATAAAATTAATTAATTAACTTTAACAAAAATTTAAAAAATTTTTTAAAAATAAAAACCTGCTGCTATTCTGAAAAGCAAGCCACAGTCTGAGAGAAATATTCATAATATATATGTGGTGGGCAGAATAATGGCTTCCCAAAGACATCCATGTTCCAATCCCTGGAATCTGTGAATATGTTACCCTACACAGCAAAAGGGACTTTGCAGATTTTATTAAATGGAGGATCTTGAGATGGGGAAGTATCCTGGATTATCTGGGTGTATCTAATGTAATCACAATTATGAAAGGGAAGCAAGAGGGTCAGAGTCAGAGAGACTGGAAGATGCTATGGTACTGGCTTTGAAAATGGAGAAAGACGGGATGCCTGGGTGGCTCAGTCAGTCAAGTGTCTGCGTTCAGCTCAGGTCACGATCCCAGGGTCCTGGGATGGAGCCCTGAATCGGGGCTGCTCAATGGGGAGCCTGCTTCCCCCTCTGCCCGCCCCTCCCCCTGCTCGTGCTCTCTCTCTGACAAATAAATAAATAAAATCTTTAAAAGAAAAAAGAAAGAAAGAAAATGGAGAAGGAGGCCACCAACCAAAGAATGCAAGTGCCTCCTGAAGCTGGAAAAGGCAAGGGAATGGATTCTCCCCTAGAGCTTCCAGAAGGAACACAGTCCTGACAACACCTTGAACCGTTTCAGACTTCTAGCCTCCAAAACTGTGAGGAAATAAATGTGTTGCTTTAAGGCACTAAGTCTGTGGCAATTCATCACAGTAGCAATAAAAAGTAATACATATATACAACAAAGAACTTGTATCCAGAAAATAATAAGAACTTTTTATACCTCACAATTATAAAACCAAAAATGGGCAAAAGATTTATACCTGTACTTCACAAGAGAATGTTTTACCCATATTTCACAGTAGAATGTCTAATAAACACATGAAAAAATACTCAACAGTAACTATTAAGAAAGCATTATAATTAAATCCATAATGAAACAATACTATGGACCTACCAGAAAAACTAAAATTATATATACTAACAAACATGAATTGATGGTAAGAACATGAAGCAACTGGAACTCTTTTTTCTTTTTTTAAGATTTTTTATTTTATTTATTTATTTGACAGAGAGATAGAGAGCACAAGCAGGCAGAGAGGCAGGCAGAGGGAGAGGGAGAAGCAGGCTCTCCGCCGAGCGAGGAGCCCAATGCGGGGCTCGATCCCAGGACCCTGGGATCATGACCCGAGCCGAAGGCAGCCGCTTAACCGACTGAGCCACCCAGGCGCCCCGCAACTGGAACTCTTATATATTACTGGGGAATAGGTAAAATGGTACAACCATTTTGGAAAAAATGTCCCCCAAAACTTGTAAATGAATGTTCCTAGCAGCTTTATTCATAATAGCCAAAAATAGAAAACCCAAAATGGCCATCAGTCAGTGAATGGATAAACAAACATGGCTTAGTCCTCTATGATAGAATACTACTTAACAACATAAAGGAACTAACAGCTGATATATGCAGCAACATGGATGAATTTCAAACACATACTGAGCAAAAGAAGTGAAACACAACAGGTACATGAGTTCCATTCATATGAATTTCTACAACAGGCAAAACTAACCCATAATGACAGAAAGTAGATCAGTGGTTACCTGGTGCAAACTGACTACAAAGATACACAAGAGTTCCTGACATGACAGAAATGTTTCGTATCTTGATCGTGGTGGTGACCGTGCAGGATTATCTATTTGTCAAAACTCATCAAATTATACTTAAAGCATGAGTATTTTATTGTATACAAATCATACCTTGTTTTTAAAACAAGTTGATTTTAAAATAAAATGCCTGCATCTAATTAAGCAGACTGTAGGTTTCTGAAGCTGAGTTCTTCCCTTCCCATTGGTAATACATGCCCACTTGTGCTGTGGAAGAGAAGAACGTGTCTACAGACAGCCCAGTGACACATCCTATGGCAGAAAGAGCAAATGCTTACCTGAGGTGCAACATAATAAGGGGTGAACTGGGGTGTCATCAAGTCACCTTGGTCAATTTTGGCAAATCCAAAGTCACACAACTTCACTGGGGCATCCTGAAATAAAACAAATAGGAGTCATTGCTCCAGAGTTCTCAATAAACACTAAAGGAAAATCCAGGTGGAAGACAGGTTATCTTGAGCTCTCTCTCACAAGTTTCTGGCTGACACCTGAACCTATGAATAGCATGTCCTCACATCTGGAGAAATGATTCATACTGAGGAATTTTTCTTAGTAACACAGAGGTAAAGAATTTCTATCCACTCATAGTTGGCCTTGTTTCATGACTGGTATATGCAGTACTAAAATCAAGATCTTAACCAAGTGCCCCCTGACTCTATCTACCAGCCCATCATCTCCAATCCAGGGTGTGATTTCACTTTTAGCATCAGCTTCAAGATTGCCAGAGCAACTTATTTGGTGGGACACGGTACATGGGGCAGGGGGTGAGACTGGAGAGAAAAAAACATCTTATCAGCATTAACGAACGGCAAATACAACTATTACACTTCAAGGTAAGTGTAATAGATTCCTGCCCCTTTCCAAAGCACCCCCAAATCATATCCAGAATCTTAAGTCTTACAAATGTATATCAGTATCATCCAAAACTATCAATGCCAGGGGTATAGTAGAATGTCTCTGAGCCTCTTACAAGGAAACAAGTGGGGAAAGTAAGCTGCTAGAAGCACTTTGGCTTAAAGCCTCTTCACCATGGACTCAGAGAACTCTGAATCTACACCTACACACCCATTCCCGAACTATGTTGAGAGTGGCAGCACTAAAATGCAGAAAAACAAGTCATCTCACCAAAGAGTTATCCTTGAAGAGCAGATTTTCAGGCTTGAGGTCTCTGTGAGCGATGTTTAACAAGTGACAGTGCTGTAGAGCCAAAGCTATCTGGAAAAGGACATAATGGAGCAACCATATCTTAGAAAAGATAGTTCTTTAATGCCGCTGGCTTAGAGAACTCAGGATATTTAAAAAAAAAAAAAATCCTTAATTAAGTCAATTAAGACTGTGGTTTGTTTTCAATTTTACAGCAGAAATTAAGTAAGACTTTGGGTACCAAGAAATAGAAATGAATTCAGCTTAGTTTAGCTGCAACCTGTATTTCATTAAGCTAAATAAATAAATAAACAAATAAATACAGTAAAACACTTCTTTGTCCAAGTAAACTGATGGGTACCAAGAAATAGAAATGAATTCAGCTTAGTTTAGCTGCAACCTGTATTTCATTAAACTAAATAAATAAATAAATAAAACAGTAAAACACTTCTTTGTCCAAGTAAACTGATGGTTAAATCCTGTACGAAATGGGAAGGACGAAATGCTTCCAATTCCACTCCTCTGAGATGCACCCACCACGGCAGAGTAAACTCTGTGCCAGGCAGTCTTCAGCGGGCCTGGGCTCCCCTAGCAGGACAGCGGGCGCTAACACCTGGCTCCAGAGAGAACCACACTGTCCGGGGGTTCAACTCCAGGCTCTGCCTTCAAGAAAAATGGAAAGCTGCTAACTGCATTTTTCCACCTGATGTTCCAATTTGCTCATCCCATTTGCTGAAATGAAATGTCGCCTGTTTAGGTGGGTTGGAAGGGTTTTTGTTTTATATGAGATTCTCAGAGCACATCCTAATATTTGAAATCTTTGAAAAATACAAGATGTAATTTTTAAAATTAAATAGAACAAATTCTACCTGTTCTTCAACTCTCAGTATGGAATTGTCTTGGCATTCCAAATATCAGTTCCCCCCTACCAGAAAGGAGGCATCCAAAAATGCTTAAGGCTCCTGTACACTGTTAGCGCTTGAAGCTGAGGCCGCTGGCTGGCCGCAGTGCTCACAAGCTCAGCTAGTGCGCTACCAGAGGGCCAAGTCTTCTGCTAACACCACAAGGGGCTCTGGCCCAGTGAGCAGAGACTTTGATAGGAATTCTTGCTTTAAGTGAGGGAAAAATGCTTGAGGCTCATGGAAAACTTGGAAGAAATTTTAGAAACCAATTGAGCTCTGATTCCTGCTTTCTGCCTTGCTTGCTTGGCCTGAAGATAAGCCTTGTGGAGTTAGCTTGTCACCTCCTCAAGAGGTTATTTCGTTAAGAGTCCTAGTATTGTTTGTGACATAAATCATTTTTCTAGCAATAAAATGTGATGTCAAAATAGACTATAATCAGGAATAACCCAGAATTACAAAGACCTTAGAATTCTATTAAAATCTGATGAGGTGACTCATAAGCAAAAAGTATCTTGTATACAATTGTCCCAGAAGATATTTTTATCCCATACAATCTTTCAGCTGTTATCAACAGCAATTTATCTCAAAGTCCAACACTGCTTGGAACGCTACATACTCAAAGATATCTACAGTCTACAGAGGAATTAAAAGGTTACCTTTCTTCCAGAGTTTATTTAAATCTTGTAATAGGCAAGCAATTGACAACCACTTAAAAATACAGTCCCCCCCGCCAAGCATAAAAGGGGTCACATTTCTCCTGTCAAAGCATCTTTTCTGATTACATAACAAAGCAGGCAATGAGAGATCAAATAGAGCTTTTCTTCAAGCTTTCTTTTATTCCCCCCAATGAAATTGTACTTGTTAACCAACATTGTTGGCAGTTTGATTGGTACCCGGGGTTAACTTGCCTGCTTTGTTACTTGGCTGGCTTGCTTCTCTGTAAAGTGCCGGTGCTGGCTGATTCTGTGAAATAGCTCTCCCCCTTCCATCATCTCCATTACAATTAAGAGTCGAGCCCTGTTTGAAAGCATTTGATTTTGTTAAGTTAAAAAAAAAAAAAAAACTGAAACATCAAATAGCTAACCTAAAGATACCTCATCTACAAAGTGTGTAACTACTTCCTAAGTCTAGCCCTACCATGCCCCTTGGAGTTGGACCCCTTGTCACTATCAACTGGACACTATAGATAAGGAATACCCCTCACCTAAAATTTTCTAAGAAGCTAAGATGAGAGTAAAATAATTAAGTTTTGAAGACAATGATCCTTTTGAAGATACTGGACTTAACTTGTTATTACTAGATGTTAAAGGGGGGGGTGACCTTTTTTTTTTTTTTGAAGATTTTATTTATTTGACAGACAGCGAGAGTGGGAACACAAGCAGGGGGAGTGGGAGAGGGAGAAGCAGGCTTCCCGCGGAGCAGGGAGCCCGATGCGGGGCTCGATCCCAGGACCCTGGGATCATGACCTGAGCTGAAGGCAGACGCTTAACGACTGAGCCACCCAGGTGCCCCGGGGGTGATCTTTTAAGTGACATGTTTTTGTATCATATTTAGGGCAGCTAGATAGAAAGTGTATTGAAAACAGAATATGACTTTGTATAGGACATGAATTTCAAGTCACTTGGCTCGTGTTGGGCTACCTTGGTTATTCACTCTCATTCTTTGTCTGTCTATGTCTGTATCTATGTGTGTCTCTCTTCACTCCTCCCCACTATACTAGTTTTCCATGTGACCCACAGCATACCCAGCAAGACAGCTGGACAGGGTTACACAGCTACTAAAGAAAAGCAAAAATTCTCATGTTGTTAAAAAAAAAAAAAAAAAATCAGAATTCTGGTTACCATTCTTTGATATAAATGCTTCCAGCTTCTATCCAAATGCTTTCACCAACAGAGCACAGTTGTTAAGAAATAGTTATGATTTCCCATTTGTTTTTACAAATCCATCTTCTTTCTCCACCTGGAAGACTCCTACCAAGTCCTAGCCCCCACATAACCACCCTGTGAGACACCTCACCTCCCCAGCCTACAGTTAGCAGCTCTCTTCTCCTTTGTAAGCTCAAAATATCTTATGGATGCCTCTCCTTGGTGCCTATCACATTGCTATGAAGATAGGTTTACATCTCAGTCCCCAGTAGAAATCATACCTTATTTAACTTTGAATCCCCTGGAAGACACTTAGAATGCCACCCAGTGGGCTTGCCAAACATTTGGCAGCTAAAAGAATAATGTTGATTTATTCCTTTAAAAGGAATGTCAGACTAAGCAATAAGAGCTTTTTGCCATATCAACTCTAAGCCAGTGCCTAGTAATATCTGGTCCCCTTTCACTAATTTGAAATAGAATCTATTTTAATTCCACATTACATACTTTTTTTTTTAAGAGAAAGTAATCACAATAATCAGGGGGTCCCAAAGAGTGGGTGGGGCATAGATGAAACAAGGCTGACAATGAGTTGGCCAACCCAACTGTTGAAGTTGGGTGATGGCTACCTGGGGATTCATTACATAATTCTGTCTGCTTTTACAAATGTTTGAAATTTTCCAAAATAAAAAGAAGAGAAGAGAGAAAAGAGGGAGGGAAGCAGGCAGGCAGGCAGGGAGGGAAGGAGGGATGGAGAGAAAGGGGGAGGGGGAAAGAGCACAAAAGAGAGGAAAACCCCACTACACCTTGACCTACATGTACAGAGGTGGACATGTGGTGATGACCCCCATGTCGTCTTACCTGGGGCTGGACTCATGAGGAAACTGTACACTGTTAGCAAACACTTCAATAATTTGAACTATATTTGGGTGTGTGGCACACATCATGTGCAGACGTACCTTAAAGAGAACAGAGGAAACGTATCACCTCACCAACAGATTTATTTTCTACTGCCCCATCCATTAGCAAATGAAAAATCTGGCAAATAACTCATTTTGTTTCAGAAATTATTCATGTATCAAAAAAAATTTAAAAAAAATTATTCATGTATCTCTAAACAAAAGAATACGTCCTCCACTGCACATGTTACTAGTATGTCATCACCACACCCAGATGATTTAAAACAAATGTGTATTTTTTAGAACTAGAAACACATCCTCACAGCCCTCCTGCAGCACACTTACAAGACACTGGTCACCATTCTCCACTCTTCAAGGACCTTGTCCAATAAGTAAAAGCTGAGGCAAACCTGAATACTTCACGGTATAAGAACCACATTAATTGAAAAAAAAACAAGAGGTGGTTTAAAGGAAGTAAGACTGACAGCCTTTGGTACTGATAGATATGGGACCACTTTGTAATGATGACAGGAATAGGGAAAGGGGTAAATATGGATATAAAATTCTTTGTGCATCTCTGTATTCCCTCCAGGAAGCTGCCTTACTTGTAAAAAGAATAATTTGTAGGCACTTCCAATATTTAGGCAAATCAAGGCAATAAAGGGTCATACCTCATTTCTAGCTTTTGGACGATCAAAAAGAATTTTCAGTGCAAACCGTTCTTGAGTAGATTTCTTTACACAGACTCTAGATTTGGAGGAAAAAAAATTTAATCAGAAATCATCTACGTTACACTGAAAACTAATTTAACAGGTTTGTTCTTTTAGAACTGTACTTCTAATCAAGAATATATCCGGTGCATCCAAACACACTTGCCCCTAGGGCTAGCAGGTGGAGAGGCAGAAAAGCCATCTCACTCTCCCGGCACAGGCCTCAGCTACTGAGCCACGTGGGAGCAACCTGAAGGCCAAGGAAGTAATAGCCAAGGATGGCCTCTGCTAGCAACTCTCACAGTAGCTCCACAGTCTCAATATCCTTTTTTTTTTTTTGAGAGAGAGACAGAGAATGAGGGGGTGGGGGCAGAGGGGGAAGGAGAGAATCTTAAGCAGGCTCCACACCTAGCGCGAGCCCAACATAGCGCTCGATCTCACAACCCTGAGATCATGACCTGAGCCGAAATCAAGAGTCAAACACAACCGAGTCACCCAGGTGCCCCAGTCTCGATATCTTAAATGATTCTCTGTTACAGATCACGTGACTCAGTCACTTAAATATATTTCTAAATGGATGACGAAAAGCCTTACATAAATATGTCCACTTGTTAAATTAAAGCTATTTCACAAATCTGGCACACCTGATGCTTCTAATGTACAATGTATGTCAAATGACCCTTTGCGGAGCAATTCTGCCATAGTTTGCATGTCGTCTCTTACCTAACTGGACCACTAATTCCAGCTCCCAGCTTCTGAGTCCAATTGATATTGTATTCCTCTAAAATGGAGGTTTCCTATTAAAACAGAAAAGGGAGGGGGCAGACAATGATTCTCCAATTAAAAAGCCGAATAACTGAGCAAGGTGGGACAACAGAAAACCTTATCACTCACTATCTCATCTTCTAAAAGAAACTGATAAACAGGGCTTTGCATTCTTTTGGCTTTATAATTAGGTACTTCTTCTAAATGACTAAGTTAGGCACTGTTTTCCAGCAAAAAAGAAAGCAAACACTTTTGGATAAGAAGAAATTCTTCAGCTCATCCACAAGGTCCATTTTACTCAATGTTTTTCAGGGGGCGGGGGTAGTGGGAGAGAAACATATTCTTTCAAAATGCTTCACTACTGAATATTCAATTGCTAAAATGAAATGGTCAGTATATTTTCTGAGGTTCCAGAAAGACTGCTCTGATACATGCTTCTATGATACAGAAGGCCTATACCCTTGAAGAAGTTGATCAAATTGTTGAAATAACTGAATAAATTGAGACTTAAAAGTTCAAATAAGGTAGTAGTGAATATAATAAATTTATCTAATTTTCAATAGCATCATTTTGAGTACAAAGATATTGTCATATTCATTGTGTAACTATTTTTTATAGTTTTCAGTTGTTTTATTTAGTTTTAATAGCTTCCAATAGTTCCCGATACAGCCTCTATGATTTAGTGAAAGTTTTTATGGAATTCCTGTCTAATCACTATATGCTGAGCTCCTGTTGCCATAGGCTTTCAGGCATGAAAGCCATATTTAAGTTATGGCAGGCTAAAATTCATTTTTCAGGGCTCCACAGGAAGAAAAGGAAACCAAATGGAGACCTTGAGAAATTAGGCTGGAACTCATGAGATTTTCAAAGTGTTTTGTTGCAATGAGAATCGAATAGAATCCCGATTCCCAGTACATGGGAACAGGGTATCTGTCCACACTCATTGAGCAGTTGCTATGTGCCAGACACCAGGCTAAGTTCAGAGACAGAAAAACAAGAGCTTCTGCCCAATTAATATGCAAGCATACAAAATACACTTACAACAGTCATCATCTCCACTTTCCTGCTGCCCAGTTCTTGATAAAGGTTCTCTGCATATAATAAATGCTCACTAACTGTGGAATGAGAGACTAGAAAGGTAGACTAAAGCTGGATGATAGAGGGATATTGACTTGGGAAAGATCAGTTAGATCATTACACAAACTTCCTTCTGAAAAACTGTACACTGGGGTTAAGGAACTTGAGGTCACACAGTGAGTTACAGGGACTAATGAGACTAGAATCTATGGCTTTGGCCTCTTCCCTAGCACCATTCCAGCTATCTGAGTTAACTGCCTTACACGGAAGATCAGGGACAGATCTTGCCCAATCAGGGAGGTCCCAGGCTCTGTCCCCAGTCACCACCTTCTAAACAGAATTCAAACCTACCCATTTAACTTGCCTACCTTCTTTATGTTCCCACTGTTTAGAAGTGTTTGAGAAGACAGGGAGGAATACAGGATTGGGAAAGAGGGAGTTGGGAGCATAGTCTAAGCATCATGGTGGAGTAAAATCATTTGCTAAACCCCTCCTTCTCCTCAACTCCAATGAAAACATACACTCATAGGAGATTCGTGGAAAAGAGAGATTTGTTCCATGGAATTATCTGTCATGAACAGATCAAAGGATTGTTCATTTGCCCAGTTCCTGAGATGTGAAAATAACGTTAGACAAAATTCTTCACTGTGCTGGTGCTCATTCAGATGGTACTCTACACAGCCAAGACCGTTCAACTTGTAGAGGCTCTGATGAGGCTCTGACAGGAGTTTTACCACTTGACGTTACAGAAGATAAGAGAGGCACTACCAGGCCTCTCTACAGCCCTGATTTCTGAACCCTGTTTTCCTTATACCTCTTGTCCTCTTTCCCAGCTTTCATTCTTACACCTTTGTTGATGGTGCCATAAACACTAACTGGTCTAAGGCTTCAAGAAGCCTGGCTGGGGAAGAGAAGTAACAGTCTCAGATCTGTCAACTCTTCCATGTGTGGATGGCCTATTTTCTCACATATTTTAATGACAAGGAGAATATAGGAAGGGATGGGTCAATTAAAACACTTCACTGAAGTAAATTATGGACTAATTCAAAGGCATCAATGAGAAACACATTGATTGAATTCTGCTAAAGAAATATATATACTGCCTTTAATAAAGATATAGATACATGGAATGAAGTAATTCTTTGGAATCCTTCTAGACCAAGGGTTAGGAAATCACAACCCACAGGCAAATCTATCCATTGTCTATTTTTGTAAATAATAAACAAAATATATTTGTGAGAGATATAAAAATAATGATATAGTAAAAAAGTTAACATTTACTGGATTAAAAAAAAAAGATCCAACCATAGCTGTCTATAAGAGATATACTTTGGATTCAGAGAAGCAAACAAGTTAAAAATAAAAGAATTTCAATGATTATGCTGGGTAGACTGGGTATCCACATGCAAGCAAAAGAACAAAGTTGGACCCTTAACCCCATATACAAAAACTCAGAATGGATCAAAGACCTTAATGTAAGACCTAAAACAATAAAATTCTTAGAAGAAAACATAGGACATGAGTTTTGTAACACTGTATTTGGCAATGATTTCTTGGATAAGACACTAAAGGAACAGGCAACAAAAGAAAAACTAGACAAGTTGAACATGAAAATTTAAAAATTTTGTGCATCATAAAACACTATTAACAGAGTGAAAAAGGCAACCCACATAATGGAAGAAAATATCTGCAGATCAAGTATCTAATAAGGGATTAACATCCAGAATATACAACAATTCCTAAAACTCAAAAACAACCTGATTCAAAAAACGGGCTAAGAACTTGAAAAGACATTTTCCCAAAGATATACAAATGGCCAATAAACACATGAAACAATGTTCAGCATCACTAATCATGAAGAAATGCAAATCAAAACTCCAATGAGATACAACCTCACACGCATTAGGACAGCTACTGTCAAAAAACAAACAAATAGGGGTGCCTCAGTGGCTCAGTTGGCTAAGTGTCAAACTCTTGATCTCAGCTCAGGTCTTAATCTCAGGGTTGTGAGTTCAAGCTCCATGCTGGGTGTGGAGACTACTTAAAAAACAAACAAACAGAAAATAACAAGTGTTGGTGAGGATATGGAGAAATTGGAACCCTTGTGCACTACTGGTGGGAATGTACAATGGTACATTTCCAATGCCATGGAAGACAGTATGGCAGTTCCTCAAAAACATTAAAAATAGAATTACCATATGATCCAGCAATTCCACTTCTGGGTATATACCCAAAAGAACTGAAAACAGGGTCTTCAAGAGATATTTGTATATCCATGTTCATAACAACTATTCTAATAGCTAAAACATGGAAGGGACCTAAGTGTCCATATACATATGATGGAATATCATTCAGCCTTAAAAAGTAAGGAAATTCAGAAATATGCCACAATATGGATGAACCATGAGAATATTATGCTAAGTGAAATAAACCAGTCACAAAAAGACAAACACTGATTCCATTTTTCTGCGGTGTTTAGAGTAGTCAGTATTACAGAGACAGAAAGGAGAATGGTGATTGGTAGAGGCTGGGGGAAGGAGGCAGAGGAGTTACTGTTTAATGGGTACAGAGTTTCAGTTCTATTTCAAGATCAAAAAAATTATATGGATGGATGGTGGTGATGGTTGTACAACATTATAAATATATTTAATTCCAGTGAAGCGTACATATAAAAATGGTTAAGACGGTAAATTTTATGATATGAGTAATTTTATTACAAGTTTTTAAATGGAGAAAAAAGTAAAAGGATGGAAAAAGACATACCATGAGTAACTATAAGACAGCTGAAGTAGCTATACAGACAACAGACAAAATAGACTTCAAAACAAAAGATATTAATAGAGAGAGAGGCACTTTTTTATAAAGATGAAAAGGTCAATTCAACAGGAAAATACGAGAATTATAAACACATATGCAGGCACCTAACAACAGAGTCCAAAAATACATGAAGCAAAAATTGACAGAATATAAGAGGAAAATAGACAATTCAAAAATAATAGTTGGAGATTCCAATACCACGACTCTCAGTAATAGAAAAGCTAAACAGAAAATCAGCTGGATGTAGAAGAAAACACTGTCAACCAACTTGACCTGACATCTATAGAACACTGCATCCAACAACAGGAGAATATACATTCTTCCCAAGTACACATGGACTATTCTTCAGGATAAATCATATGCTGGATCATAGTCTCAATAAATTTTTAAAAACTGAAATTATATAAAGTTCTTCAACTCTAATGAAATTAAGCTAGAAATCAAAAAGTTTAAAATTACATAATACTTCTAAATAATCAATGGGTCAAAGAAGAAACAGGGAAATTAGAAAATATTTTGATCTGAATGAAAATAAAAACACGGGGCGCCTGGGTGGCTCAGTCGTTAAGCGTCTGCCTTCGGCTCAGGTCATGATCCCAGGGTCCTGAGATCGAGCCCCGCATCAGGCTCCTTGCTCCGCGGGAGGCCTGCTTCTCCCTCTCCCACTGCCCCTGCTTGTGTTCCCTCTCTCGCTGTGTACCTCTCTGTCAAAAAATAAATAAAATCTTTAAAAATAAATTAATTAATTAATCAATCAAATAAAAACACAATACAGTAGTCCCCTCCCTTGTCTGTGGGGGGTACATTCCAAGACTCCCAGGGAATGCCTGAAATCAGAGCTGGTACCAAATCCTATATATACTATGTTTTTCCTACAGATACATACCTATGATAAAGTTTAATAATTTAAAATCTATAACTTAACATTATAAATTATAATTTATAAATTAGGCACAGTAAGAGGCCAACAATAAAATAGAACAATTATAACAATATGCTGTAATAAAAGTTACGTGAATGTAATCTCTCTCTCACACACAAATATCTTTTTGTACCACACTCACCCTTCCTCTTCTTGTGATGGTGTGAGATAACAAAGTGCCTATGTGATGAGATGAAGTGAGGTGAATGACGTAGG